AATACAACCAATCAATCCATACAATACACACAGACATGCCAACACAAAATCCTCCCCTCTGCCTGTAATATGATTACTGAACCCAATGGTTAATATAATTATCACAGGCAGAGAAATACAGTATTATAAAACATATCACAGGGACCCTAAAACATGCAATAACCCCATAAACATCCTCGGAACCGGGGGATCTGGGTGAACCACATATCCAAAATTCACCCAGATCCGTTCAGTGGTTTGGAAGATACAGTTTAATGCAGATTCCGCAGAACATATACAGGCTAAATGAAAAATAATTACTGTATAATGTGTCCCCTGTTGTATAGTTTAAAACTACTGCACGATGTCTTTGTGCACCCAATACCGGCAAGATGGCACTGTGTAGAAAAGTCCAAACAGTGTCGGTGAGTTAAAATGGCCACCATCCATTGTTCTCACCATGTGCTTCATCCATTGTTCTCACCATGTGCCTCTGATACATGAAATGGTGGCCACCCAGTAACTCCACAGTATATCCCCAGATGGTTCTTAAAGGGCCAGCAAAAGCATAATAAAATACAATATGCCCACATCAGTTCCTAGAAGGGCAATAGTCGCAGCGCAGGAGGCTGGCAAACAGGCCCCTCCAAAAACCAGTGGCGAGGTCACTTTCGCCACAAGCATGAAAGGGAAATTATTAAAATTTTAAGGGAGGGACCTAGTGTCTCCTCCCCTGGTCCCCACCCATGCTGGCAGGTGGGGGACCTAGGGTCCTCTCCCCTAGCCTTACCCATGCTGGCATGGGGGGACCCTAATTAATTATAAAATAGTTTTCCACCCCACTAATTTACAGTTAAGCCACTCAGGTGACTAGGACCCCTAGCAACCCACTAAAATAAAGTCCCTTCCTCACCCCCAATCTAATAAAAGTAAGAAGAGTGTCATAAAAATTAAAACCTGTAAAAAATTATACTTCCCATCAGAAGTATTCTTTCTTCTTTTCTTAAGTTCCAAGAAACGCCAAAGAAAATCCATAATTCCCAACGCTATTAATTAAAATAAAAAAGGCCTGATCACAGAAAAACAAACAAAAAAAAACCCTGAAAATTAATGGCACTACATAAAAAAATATTGTACTTTTAACGCTTGATAGGCTCACTACAGAAAGAGCGCTCCTAGCAGTGAAAACCATTTCATAGGTTACCAACTCAATGACCGGTATCACAAAACACAGAGAAATTTCCACACTTTGCAAAATGACCAAGAGTGCTTTGATTGGTTGGCTGGTTGCTAATGCTGCCAATGCTAATGCTACCAATGGGAAAATAGTACTTCAAATGATCAATTCACTTGCAAATAGCACTTAAATGATAATTTGTGAATGAGCATTTTGCTGGATGCATTCAACCATGCTGTCATTGATAAATCTACAATTCTGATGCTGTAGATTGGTTGAGACGGGGAAATCACCGATTTTCCTAACCCACCTGAACTAATGTTATGAAATCTATTTGACTGACCTAATTCTGACTGTGTTTGGCTTTAGTGAGTCTTAGAATTACCAATGCATTTGGAATTTGGCCATTTTCACATGATTTTAACCATTTAGACAAAATGTGGTGTTTAGTGAATAACCCTGAAACAACCAAAGCACCATAGCCACTTTAAAACACTGTAGGATAGCATACCCTGATTATGGCGGAACCAACCTTGCCACTGGGCATTGGAGAAGACTGATTGCCGGCCTCCTGCCCTGTGACTATGGCCCCATGTTGAAAGGATGGATTTTCCCCTGCAAAGATCCAAAAGCTGGGTCTTTCGGTACTTTCCATATGTGAGCAGTGTTACCCAGATAGCTATGCCATGGAGCCCATTTGTATAATGAAAGACTATGGGAAAGACTTTGGCTCCATGGCAATTGAACTGTATGTGTGTGCTCTGAGCACCATTCAGTAATAATGTGCGCTCAGATCTGAGCTATCTGGGGATATGTTGATATATATGTAGATATGTACCTGTTTTGTGCAATGGCTGCACAGTTATATGTTTTTATGTGTTTTATTGTCTTTTGCTGCCATGTGGCTAATGGAGTTTTGCCTCTGTCCTGAAGATAATTGGATTACTTCCCCAATTATCTCCAGGATAGAAGACTCTGTGAGACTGGTTTTGGGCAGAAAAGCCATGCTGCATTTGGTCAAATAGGACTTTTCCTTAACTTTTGAACCACTGGACCAATTTGTATGATTTTGACATATGATTGTATTTGGAGTATGCTGATTCTGAAAATGTGAGTAAATTTATGTGAATGTGATGCATACTTTTCAAGTTATGAATAATGTGGAAAAACTGTATTTCTCTGGCTGTGATAATTAGATTAACCATTGTGTTCAGTAATCATATCACAGCCAGAGGGGAGGATTTTGTGTGGGAGTGTCTTTCTGTAATGTACGTGTGTTATTGGTTGTTATGTAAAACCCTGTGGGCAGTACTAAATTTATGGATTAGGAATAAAAGAGGCTGTATGTGCCAGTCCAGTGAGTTCCTGTTTAACCTGCTAGGACCCCTAAAAAGCATCGCAAGCATTGGATAATGTGCGTGTGTTATTGGTTGTTATGTAAAACCCTATGGGCAGTACTAAGTTTGTGGATTGGGAATAAAAGAGGCTGTATGTGCCAGTCCAGTGAGTTCCTGTTTAAGCCTCAAAGTGAAGTGTCGTCTCATTATTGGGGGAGGATTTATTGTATGCTGTTCCAGTTTGACTGCTAGGAGTGTAAACCTATTTGCATGGTTTTTCCTATTCGGCTGTATACAACATTCATATGCTTGAGAGCATTCATATGCTCCTTCGGTTTGGTGGTTTTGGTGTCTGCTGCAGTGCTTGGAGTCCTCAGGAAGTGCTAGGAGCATCCTTTAACGGAGGTACCCAGTCGGGGTGCCAGGTGATCCGTTACACTGATTATTCATTATTTTGCATTACAGGTCATGTGACGTTAACCCACATCTAGTTGAACTATCCAGTTTGTCTTCATATCTTAGCAAAATGGGACTTCCCTACCTTCAATTGGAACTTACCCAGATTTCTGTTGTTTTTTTTCGATAAACTTCACACAGGTGAGGAGTTCTAACTCATTCATGGCTAGTTTCATTAAATTCTTTGCACACTGTGCTAAGCATAGAAGGGAAAAGTAAGTTCCTGATAGTAATATGAAAAACAAAACATAGGGGGTGTGGTTCCGGCTTTCACCAAGATGGCCGTGTAAAGAGTGAGCTCCGCTCCGCCGGACCCCTAAAAAGCATCGCAAGCATTGGATAACCACCTTAATGGGGCGCACTAAACGGCCGGAGCAGCCCCAGACCCCAAGGCACCCCTCACAGGGCCCGCTGGACGGTTACCTGCAGCCGCAGACAGGAACGAGCGGAGACTCCGGGAGCCCCAAAATGGCGGCACCATCCACCTCAGGACAGGAGGGGCCGGCACTTGACCGGATTGAAAGTACCCTGCGGGACCTGGCAGCAGCCATGGTCATGAAAACTGACCTCCAGGCTAACACGTCTGTGGTTTTACTTATATACGAACCCCCCCCCACTTGGGTACCGACGGGAGCATAGCCGGAGAATGACCTACACATGACGCATGAGATGTACATAAGTATTGGGTCAGGAACTCGGAGGAGCGCTTAGGATGGATAAGGGGGCCCCCGACATAGGGAACCCCACCGCTAGTGGATGCAGGGGAGCTAACATTTAGCGACAAGGGAATAAGGGATCACTTAGACTGACCAGAGTGGGTGGACGATGGGTGGGCATCTTCCTTCTTCGAGGGAGTACTTGGGGAATGAAGGGTTATACTGTTTTCTGTTCATCGGCCTCAGGGGCCATGTTTGACAAAACGTTATTTGTTGTTATTACCAGTGTGCTTTTATTGTAACTGTACGATTTACGCAGATTATTGCTATCCATTCAAACCTGACCATGGGGGATAAGGTGGAGCGGAGAACCACGTATCTAATCCCCGAAACCTTACCTGGGCGGAGCTCGAGCCGCGCTCTCCAACACATACACTCGTGCCAAGAGGTTAGTGACCAGACGGCAGGGTCCCTCGGCTCCTGGGCTGGTACCGGAGCGAGCCCCAGCTGGTGCTGGTCGCCGCGCGAGTTTTCCCCCCCTCTTTTGTAGAAGGGTTCTAGATCTAAATCAGGGATCTCACCCGACTCTGGGGGGTAACCACAAAAAGGGATACTTACCTCCTTTCATACTCTACGTGGCGCAGTCGGCACCGCGCCCGGGACCCGGAATTACTACTTGTGCGCTCCTTTATAACCCACTTTCCCCTCTTTCCTTCCCCCATTGCCCCCTATACCCCCTCTCCCACTTTCTTCCTTGTCCCCCCTGCGTTTGTGCCGGTCCGTGCCCCAGACGAGTGGCTTTCCCTGCAGTAGTGGACTAACGGTGCAACCTCCTGACCCCGTATTACACCGGGACTGTATCCGACCCACATAGTGACCATGGCCTACTGTAACGCACCCTTAAAGGTCATCACACAGAATTGTAGAGGACTCAACATACCTGAACGGAGGACGCACCTGTTACGGGAATTGAAGAAAAAACACGTGGCTATAGCTATGCTCCAAGAGACGCATTTCAAGGAAGGATCTACTCCTAGACTACGGGACAGGCATTACCCCGATAACTACTTCTGTAATCACCCAACGGCCCACAAATCTGGAGTGGCTATATTATTAGCTGCGGAACTGGAATTTAAAGAATTGGACCGCGTTCAAGACTCGCAGGGACGATAGCTCTTCCTCAAGGGCATCATAGCAGATAAGATATATACCATTTATGTGCCCAATCGGAGGCAGGCCCCGTTTATCCGCAACGCTATGCATCAACTGGAAGACTTCACAGACGGGATACTATTAGTAGGAGGCGACTTCAACGCCCCGCTGGACCCAACGCTGGATTCCTCCACGGGTCATAGCTGCCTTCCACAACACAGCATTAGCTCCATTCGACAATCAATGGAAGCCCTGAGACTGGTGGACTGTTGGAGGACACTTCACCCCACGGTGAAAGACTTTACCTACTACTCCGCCATTCACAATCGTTATTCCCGTATAGATTACATCCTCATTGCACAGGAGGGCCTTTCCCACCTACGCGGAGCAGAGATCGAAAGGGCCACCTGGTCGGACCATGGATCGGTCGGGATAGAATTGGAATCACCCCTGTACAGACCGAGGACGTGGACCTGGAGACTTAATGAAGCCCTACTGCTTGACCCGGGCACCAAGGACCAGATCCGACAAGCATTGGAACAATACTTCGGAGAGAATGATACCCCGGAGGCTTCTCCGATTTCTGTATGGGAAGCTCACAAAAGTGTGCTTCGTGGCACTCTCATACGCATTGCCTCCCAGAAGCGGAAGGCATTTATGCTAGAAATGGTCGACTTATATCGATCTATATCGACTCTGGAACGCCAACACAAACGCTCCCAGCTAAACGCAGTCTACGGAGAATTAATGGAGCACAGGAGACGACTTAAAGATCTCATTTTGAAAAGACATCTCCGATCTGTACAACGCTCGTAGGGCTTTTATTACGTGCACGCCAACAAAGGGGGTAAATATCTGGCGAGACTACTGAAAGGCCCCTTGCCCCATAGACAGATACGTAAGATCCGCCTGGCTACGGGAGAGGTTTCCCCATTCCCTCAGAAAATAGCCGGGGAATTTAGGTCTTTCTATGAACACTTATACAATCTGTATATGCCCAACGGAGCCACCGACGCAGCTGGAGAACGCACAAAGATACAGAATTTCCTGGCTGGCACAGTCACGAACACGATTGCTCAGGAATCGGCAACACTTTTGGACACCCCGATCACTGTGGAAGAATTAGCCGCAGCCCTGAAGACATCAAAATCCGGCAAAGCCCCAGGCCCAGATGGCTACTCTATGGGATATTATAGAGTGCTACTACCTTGGCTAACCAAGGCGCTTAATGCTGTAGGCGAAGGAGGGATCCTGGGAAAGGAATCCCTGGCAGCCACCATCATGGCCATACTTAAACCAGGGAAGGACCCATTACAATGCAGCAGTTACCGACCGATCTCATTGTTGAATGTCGATGCTAAGCTGTTCACGAAAGTCCTTGCAACTAGGCTTAAACATCTACTCCCCGACTTAATACACGCGGACCAGACGGGATTCATCCCGGGCCGGGAAGCTAGGGACAGTACTCTCAGGCTTTTTTCTATCCAACATCACGCAAGGAAGACAGGAACCCGGCTACTTTTGCTATCAACAGATGCCGAAAAAGCATTCGACCGGGTCAATTGGACGTACATGCTGGAGACCCTGAAACGGCAGGGCTGCGGCCAGAGACTCCTCAAGTGGATATCTGCTATATACAGTAGGCCACGTGCTTCGGTAAGGATTAACGGAGCCACAACCGAGGACTTCGCGATTAGCAACGGTACCCGACAGGGATGCCCACTCTCGCCTCTGCTGTTCGCAATGACCTTGGAGCCACTGCTACAGGCGATACGCCAAAATCCGGACATACAGGGTTATGATTGGCAGGGAGTCCATCATAAGGTTGCTGCATATGCAGACGATCTCCTTTTCTTCGTCCGCAACCCCAGGATCACCCTACCATGTCTCCTCTCCGAGTTTGACAGATTCGGACAGATATCCGGTTTTAAGCTTAACGTCTCGAAATGCGAGGTCCTGAATTTGACACACCCTACGGATGAATTCCGATCCCTGGAACCAGAATTCGAGTTCCACTGGTGCCGTGACAAGATTAAATACCTGGGCATCTGGGCGACTGTGGACCCGAGAGATATTTACCAACACAACTTTACACCCTTACTGAAGAACATACTCGCAGACCTGTCCAGATGGTCCTACCCGCATATCACCTGGCACGGGCGAGTTGCGGTGATAAAAATGAATATTCTCCCGAGGACCCTGTATCTCATTCAGACTATACCTCTCGCACTCCCGTCGACCTTCTTCTCTACCTTGAAAACAGCAGTGATCAAATTTATCTGGCGGGGAGGACGATCTAGGATCCGACATGACATTATTTGCCGACCTAGAATCTACGGAGGGCTAGCGCTACCATTTTTTAAGAAATATCATCAGGCAGCGATCATGCAACGTATCTTGGACTGGCACTCCATGCAGACACCTAAACAATGGGTTGAACTTGACAGGGGCCTGGTCGGCCCGACGCTGGAGGCGAGGATCTGGGGAGGCCCCGGGGGATCGTCGGCTCCCCTCGCCGAAGAAGGACTGATCCTACAGACCTTACAAGAGTGGAGGAAGCTGAGGACGCAGGACCACATATCCCCTGTACCCAGCCCGATGCTGCCGATTACTCATAACGCGGACGTAGGGAGAGGTCTCCCTCCCGAAGCGTTACCCATCCAAGGTAATGGTTCATACATACCCATACATATGGCCCTAGCAGGCGGGAATCTGTGGGACCTTTCCTCGATGTTGGGTGACAGACCTCGGACTCCCCACCTCCAGTTTCGATATCTCCAACTGAAACATTTCTATAATTCGTTACCGCACAAGACTCACTTGCACAGGGACCTCACGTGGTTTGAGGATCTCTGCGACCGGGGTGCTACGCTTGAACACGCGCTTTCGGCACTATATCAACATCTACTAGTCGGAGGTGCGCCGGTAGCGGTGACGTTCAAACGGCAATGGGAAGGACAACTGGGGACAACACTCACGACACAGCAATGGGATGCTGCATTGCTCTGGCAGCACAAGAGTTCTATGAGCTCGTATTACCAAGAAGTGAATTATAAATTGCTCTCACTATGGTATAGAACGCCGACTTTACTGCACCGTATATTCCCCTCGATCCCCCCAGAGTGTTGGAGATGTCAGGAAGCACGCGGCACTGTACTACATATCTGGTGGGAGTGCAGAGCAATTACCCCATACTGGGAAATGATTAGGGAAACAGTTGAACTCATCCTGGGAGAACAGCCTCGACCCAATCCATTTCATCATATAAGAAATCGATACTACGACACCTGCTCAATGCCGCCAAGGCCAACATCCCAGCCCACTGGAAACGGAGCGAAATTCCCACCAAAAAAGAGTGGATCAGCAGAGTGGAGGACATTCAAGGAGCAGAAGAAGCACATGCTGCTTTGACGGGACGAGGAACTAGGCACGCAGAGATGTGGACGCCATGGTTCTTATACATCTCCCGCTGCCGTGGGGACGGAGACGCGCCGGGGCCCTCGGCTGGGGAGCGGGCCGGTGCGGACCTTGCTGGAGGGACCAACACCCCCCTGTAACTTGATTAACCACTATCCCTTACCTCTACCCCTTCTTTCCCCCGTCTACCTGCATGCTGGGGCCGGACTCGGGGCCGTATGTGCTAACTGTAGACAAGCAGATAACGCAATGGTACTATTGAACGACAGGGAAGAAATATGTACATTCGTAGATGATCACGGACCATGCACGGTAAGCCTGGACGCGGTACCCCGGGACACCCTGTGGCCTGGTGGTCCGGCGCTTAGGCGGATAGTTAGTGATGATTAACGGCCGATAGCCTCACACCTCACATCTTCGCACACGGGTGTTACCACACATACCACTCAGAATCTCGACACTTACCACACGCTAGTTAGCGACAAGGCTTTAGGCAACATGGTTGGGATATGGAGATGCCCGAACAACGCATGAGCTTTGCCATAGGTAATGGTCCTGGGGACACTCTAGTCTCCAAACGCTTAACTTATACTTTATGTCAAATCAAGCTCCCACCTGTGCTTGGTACCCGGAGGCTTACTGTAATAATACGCTGTTACTGTTCTTATTTTACCATAATAGCCATATTATCTACATCTTCACGACTACCAAAAACATTCTTTCAGATAGGGAACTAGGGTATAGGAAATGTATGAAGGGAAAAGGGGGAAATAAGATGGAAGGACGGGGAAAAAAAAAAACTTGACTTGTTTGAATAATGTTTTTGGATATTGAATGTTGTGCATATTACATGATCCTGTTGTACTATGAAAAACTAATGTAACACTGCCTCAATCAACATTCCTCTAATAAAGAAATTTATAAAAAAAAAAAGAAAAACAAAACATAAAACAGACCGCAACAAAACTCCCAAGTTGTTAACTAATGGGAATAGCTTACTGTATATAGAGGAAATCATGCAAAGGCACAAGAACTGTCCCATTTTGGCATGCTGCCCCAGGGCCGCCATCAGGGCATGACAACCGCAACGGTTGTCATGGGCCCGGCGGTCCTGGGGGGCCCGGACTGCTCAGGTCGTCCGGGCCCCAGATTCAGTGGGTACATAACGGGTCGCAGGGGGTCCTGCGACCCCGGTATGTACCCACAGGGCCTTAGGGCCCTCCAGAGGCTGGCCCTGTAAGCCAACCGGCGGGCGGGCGGGCGCGCAAGGGAACACTCTCCTCTGTGTGCTTCCTCTTCAGCTCCCTCGCGCACCGTACTAATGCCGGAGCCGGAAGATGACATGATCATCAAGGGAAGGAATGAAATGGGAGGGGGGAAGGAGAAGGAATGAAATGGGAGGGGGGGAGAAGGAATGAAATTTGAGGAGAGGGGGAGAGGAATGAAATTTGAGGGGGAGGAGGGAGAGGAATTAAATTTGAGGGAGGGAGGGGGAGAGGAAGGAAATTTGAGGCAGGGAGAGAGGAAGGAAATTTGAGGGACGGGGGGAGAGGAAGGAAATTTGAGGGACGGGGGGAGAGGAAGGAAATTGGAGAGGGAGGGGGAGAAGAAGGAAATTGACGGGGGGGAGGGGGAGAGATTGACATCCATCACACACAATGCACACCTTGCACACAGAAAAACACACAATGCATTACACACAGATACACGTACACAAGCAATGCATCCCTTACACACAGCAACACACAATGCACCCCTTACACACACTCAATGCATCCCTTACAGACGCACACACTGCATCCCATACTTACACAAACTCATCTTGCAGCCCTTACACAGATTCACACAATGCATTCCTTACACACATCAGGACATCCCCCACACACACACACTCCACTCCCTGTGAACAAACTCATTGGTGGAACATGAAGGTTGACCCTGGGACCCAGACATTGAGCTGTGTAATGGGCCCTCAAAAAAATGGAGCTGCTTCCCGTTCTCCCAGAACAGTGATTTTTGTGACCAGTTACAAACCGCCTCCAGAGAGCCTGTTGTACACCAGACCAGTGGAGCCAGACGGCAGCTAGAGCCCATCATCATCCTCATCTGGTTGTAAGTAGGCAATCTAGTATATTATTCGTGGCACTAATCTCTAATTTACCTCACGTTAAAGGGACACTATAGTCCCCAGAACCACTGCAGCTTAATGTAGTGGTTCTGGTGTCTAGCCTGTCCCTGCAGGCCTTTTAATGTAAACACGGTGGCACTGCAGCACTGCTGTTAGTTAACATGGCAGATCACATGGGTGGGGCATTGTGATGTCACATGGGGGGGCGGCAAACTTTACTTTTGCCTAGGGCGGCAAAAATCCTTGCACCGGCCCTGTAGACACTGCATCC